CAACGCAACTGTAATTTCCCAGCTCCACGCAGGAAATGCTATAAAAAAGTAAGTTGAGTTTATTTTTATCAAACCTTGCAATGTTCCTGTATTCATCCTTCAGGATGAGAGTTGGGGAAGACGAACATACATTTTAGTCTAAAATCTGAAGAAAAGACCACTTGAAAGACCTAGATGTAAATGAAACGACAATATTACAATGGACCCGATTAAACTGGCGCCCTCTTGTGAACACGGTAATAAAACTTGGTTCAAATCATCACTCGGAATTTCTTGGTCAGCTAGACCAGTGGTATTCAACCTGGGGTACGCGTACTCCCGGGGATACGCGAAGACATGTTAGGGGGTACGTGAAATTTAAAAAAATATATATTATTTTATGATAAACACTGAATGAGACACGGTGGTCTAGCGGTCAGAACGCTGGCCTTGTAATCCTGGGGTCTCGGGTTCGATTTATAACTTGTGTTGGGCAAGGCCGTGGTCTAGGCAACACGGAGTTTTCCTCCGTGGCATCCCAACAATTACTCCATTCACACACAGAAGAAGGCAAGGGCAAACCACTTCTGGATCATCTGCCAAGAACGTAACTGAACAGGTCCCAGTCCGAGAAAAGGAAAAGGATGGAAGGATCCTGTTCATACGGACCTGCGAACAAAAAAGGTTGAATACCACTGAGCTAGACGACTCTGTTTCATACCAATAAATATTTTTTGTGTTTCGTATAGTGTGGTTTGTTAAATGAATGACGTTTTCCGAGTTCCGTTAGGTTTAACACACTTCTTATACATAAACTACACGTAAACGGTTCATTCAGTTAAATTAAATATCATCTAAGGATTGGGGCAGTTCTTCTTATGTGGGACGAAGAACTTGAGAGTAACAATGCAACACAAAAACTGCAAATCACGTGGTAACTCGGTCATCGGTAATGGTGGTCACTAGGATTTCCTTCATTCCGCGTCGTACCATCTGCTCAGAATCTCTCTCTCTCTCTCTCTCTCTAGTCTGGTAAAAACTGACCGACGTTTCAAAGGTACTTACTGCTTCCATCATCATGGCGATGAGTAATCGACGCGCGAAAAAGCTATGAAATACAGAAGCAGGCCGGACAGATCAAGATTTGATCTCGTTGGGTTATTCTGGTCTAAATATATTTCACTGCCTTTAACATAAGGGATTAAAATAAGGAGAAAAAATTAATAAACCTTAATTGAGAAAATTATCCTGAAAACTTCCAACTATCTCTTAACCCTATCATTGGTAATTTCGTGTCTCACAAACTGTAAGAAACAACCCCATGTATAAAAACTCCAGTCACGTTAAATATTTGTAGCTTGCGTTACCATGGAAATATACAGACATAATAGGGGTTTTAAAATTTAAAGCACGCAATTAACATTCGTCTCCCTATCTCACTAGACGCTATATAAAGTCCGTAGTTTAAACGGAGAAGTTAAATGACACGATAATCGATCTATCGACCAACAACTATACAGGTAGTACTTTAATTTGGTCACGGATATATACAGCAGGCCTACCAACATGGTAATAAAACACTGTCCGCTTCTTTATATGTCTACCTGGTGAAGTCTGCGAGATGCCGGGGGTAAATCAAGAGGACAGTGAACTACAGTTCAACAGTCGAGTTACAAGCAATATCTCGAAGCACGAAGATGGCTGTCATATGTGTTGTGGCGCCGAGCAGTCTGGCAGAAGTTTACCGACGTTTCAGAGGTCCTTACTGCCTCAATCATCAGGCGCACGAACCCGGAAGACAACCATCTTCAGATTCATCGCCGTAGAAACCTCAACTCCTACATCTCAATGTATATTTCGTATTATGTATCCATTACCCATCCTTCTAAGAGACAAGACTCCGCCATATATGGCTTTAATATTACATGGTAATAACATCTTTTGGAAGGGAAGGTGTGTCACACCGTCCACTACAGGACGTGCACAGGCCCGTTGCAGGTCTGTTTACAATAAAACCATGGAATATCCTAGAACACGTGAAGACATAAAGTTGCCGACCCTAACTCGAAGGTTATTTACCGTTAAGACTCTTCTGGTATGTATCTCCGAGTAATCTGGCAGGAATTGACCGACGTTTCAGAGGCACTTGCAGCCTCAATTGTCGGGACGTTAGACAAGGTAGTAAAAACACCCGAAACGTCGGTCCATTTCTACAGGATTACACGGCGTAACAGAAGGCATCCATCTTCATATTCAACGCCGTAACAGCTGAAGGAATGTGAATAGAAGTGAGACATTAATTACCACAGCATTCATTCGCTAAACAGTGTCATCGCTTGCGTTCCTATTGAAATAATCCCGTTTGTAATGCGAACATAACCTCCAAGGTTCTCGGCATGTAAACCTGAACTTCACAATAGACCTACGTTTACACAGGTTAAGCCATGAAAACCCAATTGGCTGCTAAGTAACAAAAACTCTGTGGAGAGTGACAATTCGTAAAATAAACACAGTAACTGTAATTTAAAATGCGCAATGTCACGAATGAACTTCACCTGTTTCTAGCGCCCGATATTAAGACGAAAAGTAACAAATTTTCCTCAACCCATGTAACGCTTTCATCGTGATGGAATGTAGGTTGAAGTCAACAGCTTCACAGCAAAAACTATTACTACCCAGCCCTGATGATGGAAGCAACAAGGACCTCCGAAACCCATAAGATAGCCATCTTCAGACTCACAGCATTAGAACAGAGTCCTAGAGACGCTAACAGCAGTTAATTACCGAGTTCAAAAGAGCCCATAACTGGATCACATCTTGAGCCAGCTGAATCCAGCCAACACGTTCGCACCTCAACAGCTTAAAATCCACTTTAAAATTGTATTCTCATGTACGTATTTTACCTTCAGTTACGCCGACCATCTCCCCACGCTTACTACACGTCCTGCCCATCTTGTTATCGTAATTTCGTCACTGCAATTACATTTGGTAAAGGATACGAACTATGAAGCCTTCGTCTTCCAAGTAACTTAACTTAGTATAAGCCGAATTTTTAAGTGGAATCATGATATCGAAAAACTGTCTTAAATGCAGTAAGTCCGTACTTTTGCGTTGGTAATTTACATTCAGGGCGTGAAATAGCTCAGCAACTGGCTAAGTAAATAAAAAGCGCCGAGCGCAAATCCAATTTACATTAAGTGAACTAACACACTTAAGCTTTCTGACTAAACACACAACTTCCGTATTCATGACGCAGGTTCCTTGTACGCGCGTCCACTTTTAACGATTGATGGGATGATCTGTATTTATACCAAGATGGCTGTCTTCTCGGTTCCAGTGCCTTGTGGTCTGGCAGAAGTTTACCGACGTTTCGGAGGTACTTGCTGCCTCCATCATCAGGACAGCCATTTTGTTTATTTCCTTCCTAACCCACAGCCTTCTTCATTCTTTTATTGATTCTTCGTCACATGTCAATTATCGACCCTATAAAGGTAAGCAACGCGCGGCCCGCGTGCATTTTTGTAAAACACTGTACTGCACGATTAAAATTATTCACGCGATGTCATAAAACACACGGCGTGTCTTACTGAAAAACACTTTGGAGGAATGCAAATTGCAAGAACAGAAAAATTAAACCGATACTGAAATACTGAGCAAAAGCAATGTGAAATACCCCACAAATAGGTAAATGACTTTGTTGAGGAAAATAACTGAGTAAACATGTGACCCTGTTTACAGTAGTAGGTCTAATTTAGCAGAATTTTTAAATAAACTTCCGTAGCGATTCGGCAAACTATTCTCATTTGTAACCCCGCAGCCCGCGAGTCGATAACAAGGAATCAGCGTGACCCTACGTATTAAAAGGTCCAGAGAATCTATTCAGCAAACGATACCTACACAAACAACGTTGCATTTTATGTCCAGCGTCAATCAACACCCATTGTCTTACCAGATACATTCCTGAATATGAATCAAACGAAATGAATGACCGACCAGGAATTTAATGAATGAGATTTGAGGCACTCACGGCAGTGAAGATGTTGACGTTCTGCGTCGTGACGTCGCGTGAAATTCTAGGCTGACAGTAATGTTTCGGGGGAACATATTGCCTCCATCCACAGGGTTTGAAGATTAACATCGACGACAAGAATTATTAAATAATTTTTTTAAAAAATATGCAGCAGGAGTTCCTGGTCTATTATCTCCTAAATCCCAGCAGGCGGCGCTGAAGAACAGCGTCCTCTATGTCTGATGCAGATAAGGCACCGGGCGGTTAACAGGTAGCCATAATAAAAACGAGCAATTGTACTCTGACCGCCGACAGAGGCGGACGTCCTGCTGTAAGGACGACCCTCGTAAGTCCCCGAAGGACCTCGTCCTACCTGCTCTAATATCCAACACGATTCTACGCTAACACATCGCCCTGAAGATGGATGCAGCAACCAGCTCTGAAACGTCGTACCTGTTATAATATTCCTATGATATCGAACGTCGTGATGCTGTGATGAGTACATTTACTTCGTATTTTTTCGATCAAAAGTTCAAATCTCGGCCAGGAGACCGACCATACTGACTGGTAATTTTTGTTTTTCCTCAGTCCCTCCAGGAAAATTCAAGTACAGTACCATGCATTACGTCACAACGTCTTCTTTCCACAATTCATTATTCGTCCTAATATTAGACGCCACATGATCTGAGATGCCAAAATCATTAAATAAAACATCAATGTGTTGGAACAAACTCACAGCCGACATACGAAGATCGCAATGAAAATGAACATCTCATCCCACACTATAATGCAAGACAGGTACAATATCAGTGGCGGCTAGTGGGCAGGAGGCAGATGGGCGTGCATACTAAAAATTTTAAATCTCGTCCGACCCTTCAAGCTAAATGATCATACAGAATCATTTCCCATGTCTCATTCGAAGACACACACAAACCTCAATATCTAACACAGCGCCCTAACGTAACAAAAGAACTTCTACTTACAACCCGCCACTGACTTCGTAAATTATTACCTGGTTAACATTTTTTCAGGTTTTCCTTCACTGTCCCTCCCTTTATGGCCTCTGCTGTTTCAACAATTCTGGAATGACTGCGTAGATTTCAAATGTCACAGGTTGGAAACGAGTTTCGATGTCACACTGATACAGAATCATAGATGTGTCGAATCAAATCTTGTCTAAGTCTTCAATGTCTTATCAAACACGGAAGTCTTGGCGTTATTTCCGCGTATCTAAACTTTCTCACTGATCAATCTAAACCACCAAACACATCCACACAACAATGCACTTTCCTTCTCATCAAAAGACAAAACAATTGACGAACGGCAGAGCGTAAGCTCCTACAACTTCTCAGACCGGAATGGATATAGCGAGGGTCTGCGTTTGGTGTTCGTTGTAAGACTTTTAGTAGACCATGCCATGAAAAATACACCTCGAAGCTCTTCTAGGGAACCACTCCCCTCTCTTCTTTTACCCCCTCCACAATTCCTTCGCCATTCAACAATCCCCAGTCTTCCGCCGAGACCAGCGCCGTCGCAGACACTAGCCAGCAGTCAGCAAACCACCCAAGTCTTGTATGGAGCTGATTTGTTTGCAGAAATTCTCTTTCTTTGCCTTAGCAAGCGGTTAGTGATATTGAATTGAAGAAACATCGGTATTGTGTGTTAAAAGCTTGAAGATCTATACACATCGGCAGTCTTCAGGAATTATTCAACGCGGAATCGAAAACAGGATAGCCAACGTAAAACAACTGAACGAATAGCAATGAAGAAGTCATATTCTAGTAAAATATCCAACAAAAATTAAAGTGCGCAGATACTATGCGCAGTAAGATTTATTTTGGGAGATATTTAAAGGCAAATTTTTTGCTTCATATTCGGATAAATAAGGCATAAGGAGAAAAATATATATATTAATAAAATAAGGGCAGAATTTCAAGTCAGAGAAAGGAAAAAGCAGAGATATCTTTGCAAATACCTCTGCACCGCTGTGCATAAGAGGGTCACGTGTTACTCTCCAACCTCTGGATTTGCTTACGGAATGTTCTGCGGTTTTCACCGAAGTACCTAATTAGCACTGCGATGCCGACAGCTATTTTACGGTTTGTTTCCTCGTTCTGAACTACTTGGGGGAAGGGGGCACTCACTGTACTTCTTGTCCTGGGTTCGATTAATGACAGAGATAGAGCTACTGTGACTTTCTAAAATCCCGAGGGAGACGTCCCGTAAAAAATTTGGCAATTAAGTATATACATCATACCTCATCTTCCATGATGCAGAATCATAAGACAGCACGGTACACGCGTACAACAAAGGTTTCGTAACTAAAATGTGATATATAGCGCGCTACCTCGAACGTCAGCATGCAAAACTATCATGTTAGCAATCGAAGTTTGGTTAACATATTAGGTTGGAAAGTAATTAATCAGTTCTACCTCCAACCGAAGAGTACCAACTATGCTAAGGACTATTTTTGAGTTAAGTTTGACATGAAACAAGCCACGGTAATTTAAAAATGGAAAAATAAGACCACAAATTACGAATCTCTTTGTAACTTTCTTCAGTACCCTCTTTGTCCACATTTCCTGGACCATTATATCTACGTGAAAGCCATTTTCTCGACTATCTTCGGTCTGTAACGTTGGATTTGAGTCTCAGGATGGCCGTCTTCCGAGTTGTAGCGCCTCGTAATCTGGTAGAAGTTTACCAACGTTTCAGAGGTCCTTGCTGCCTCCATCATCGGTGGCGAAGAGAGTCTTTTCACAGAAATTTATCAATCATTCGCAGACGTGTTTTATTTTCTATGCCCACTGATTCATTACAGAATAAATCACTAACGGGATCTTAATTTTCCAGACCTCACACAACAGCGGCCTCCGAAATATACTTTCAGCTCGCACGTACATAAACTTAGTGCCCAGGCATCGACAGCAATTTTATGACTTTATATCAACAGTCAAAGGAAAAACGAACAAGTTCGTTTTATCTGCCCTTTTATAGCAGCAATGAAAGAACTGCGGAAATACTAAAGTTTCCTTAAGACTTCTCTGATTGAACTTCAGCTTCTCGACAGCACCGTTAACGTATTTGGCGCACTTAACACAGATGAGGCACAAAGCCAGTGACCAATGAGGGACTAAAACCATCACGACCACTGGATTAAACATACGAAGATATCAATAGGACATTTTACAGTGTACGAACATAGGAAATCCGGCGCTTAATTTAAAGGTTATGCAAAATCGAATATTTATGGAGTTAGTTCATAATTCTAATATTCTGTAAGAACCGACTGAAAACTCCCATTTCTTTTTCTGACCAAGTGGAACTCCCACGCTGATGGTTAGAATGATTTATGACAGAGGAAAACGCTCACGCGGTCCCTGTGGGATTTGTAACCACACCCGTCGAAAGATAAGGGCTGTGTGTCCCTTGACATGTGTGGCTAGGAGCTACGAACCCGCAACAGGCTTCTGGGAACACCCCGAGAATGTGAAAGTAATCAGGCAGGAGTGGAGGGTTGTGTACGTTATGTTGCTGGAATGGGGCTCACAGATACAGCCCATAATTAGGCTACGTCTAAACCTACGAAGCTACTACCATTTCATGAATCCGTACAGCAATCACAGGGGATTAGCAAGTGCAAAGTTAGAAATGTCTTCTCGGTCTTGATAACCCAGATTCGAACTGGGTACCTCTGTAAATATGTCAGGCACACAACCGCTACGGTAGCCTGCTCCAGCCAAAACCTACAACCCAGGTGTACACGGCTCAAAATTGTAGCATCAGGACGTTCAAGTTGAGAGTAAATTACTAGGTGGTACATAACTATAAATTGATATATAAAAAAAGAATAAGGCATCTCAACAAGATCTGGTTCTGTGACCCGTCCAATAAGCGGAATAAAACTACTTTCAGCGCTAGAAGCGATTCTTTGGGATGACTGCCCGGCCTTCGAATCTTGAACATCTCCACGTATCTCACTAACGAAGCTCGCGAACATCCATAAAGTCAGAGAGAGTCTTTGTACTACTAGAAAGAAAGGAGTAGATGACAGAAAAGAAAAGAAAGTAACAGGAGGAAACAGAGACAAAGGAAAGGAGGCAAATGAAATTGAACGGTGACCTGCAACTTCCTAAGAACCATGCATTATTTCTCAGTCTCTCCTGTACGTCCCACTTTATTATTACGCTTTTAATAAATTCAGGTTTACGTGTCGCAGCGAACATTTTCTGGGGTAACGTAAGAGGAGAAAATAAGTTTTGAAGCGGACTTACGCGGAAAGTGGATAAAATTTAGCAAAGTCATTTCAGAAGATAATTCTCTAACAGCAATCACAGTAACGCTGTTTCTCGATACCTGTTCGTTGAAATGTCATTAATTCACTGTTTATCAGCTGGACGAACTGAAACACTTTGGCCCTTCTTTTAAGGTCGCAACTTTGTACCTACTGTACTAAAATACATAATAAAAGATTTAACGACGTTACATTCCAGATAAGAAAGTGGGTTAAGAATCCGTTGTCTTAACTACAAATTGCATTTGAGATTTAAGTTGAAAGATAATTTCTAAACCTTTGACGAGTAACTGCGCTGGACAAGTGATTACCAGGTGTTGTGTACGCTTTAGCGTAAGTAAAGTACACCTTATGGATTCACTTACGTCTTGGCCTTGGATAAAATTGTTGCGACCACGTTGGTCACCGTTGCTACATTTCTTATTCTCCACCCTGCACGACCGTATTACGATCAGCGAATCATCGTCCTTCTGAAACGTCGATCATTTTCTACCAGAATACGGCGCAACATCTCACAAAACAGCCATCTTCATAGCGGATAATTTGCTTCTATAATAGGCCTATCCCACTTCCATTAGGTTCTTGTAATACAGAAACCACTTCTGTGACTATCGGTAAGGAATCGTTCTATTTAACCGGCTCTACATAGTTGTCAACCGTTTACTCCTACCGGAAAATAGAATCAGCCTCCGAAACGTCGGATATATTTTCCATTCAGACAACATAACTTCCAAAGAAACTTCTCCCATAAAGGTACAAACCAACAGACGCAAACCTTTAGAATATTAGTTAACACTTACTGACTAACAAACTTGTAATGCCAGAAGTGGTTTAATTTACATCGAGCATGCAATGGAGATAATGAGTCTTAGACTAGAAGGAGACCGACGATCGGCCAACGATTGTCTTCTGTTGAAGACAAGTTTTTATGCCTCGCGATGTACAAGCGAAACACGGGTCACTTAGACAAGAAAAGTCCAATCAGATGACGAACAGAAGCTGCAGGGAGAATGGACCTTAATAACCTAAGGTGGGGCCACCTCCAGACCGCAATTGGTTTATCTTTTTTTATGAAGTTTTGTTGTTATAGATGGGGTAATAATTTAAAAACTCGTCATGAGAATGCAAGACAATAAAAACAAAAGAGAACTGCTAATAATTGCTTTCAAAATACTGAGACGTTTGAAGAACTTCCTTGGCAACGACAATATAAAATCTAAATTAAATTCAAAGCGGAAACGCCTGCTACTACTTAATTCAAAATCCATCTGTCTTCTGCTCTCTTTAAAATTCCAAAGGTTAAAATACAAGATCGACTGTATTCTTCACCAAATATTAGGCTCTCAGCGAGTAAAAGAACATGAGATGGGTGGAACGTACCAGGAAAATGTCGAATGGACACAAAAATTTTAGTCGAGAAACCTGAAATGACCACTCGAGAGACCTAAGCGTAGATGGAGATATTATTACATTCTTGGAAAGTATTCCATTTGGAGTACACTATCATTCCAAAGGCGTTCTACACTCGCGGCATCACGGGTGATGACGGAAGGGCCCATAAAGTGTTCTTACCTTACGCCAAATGGATTTTGAATATATAAGGTGTGAGGGTCTGTATTATATTGAGCTGAATCAGGCCAAGATTCAGAGGTTAGCTCTACAAGTTCAATAAATAGAGGGAAATTTGTTGACCGTCTGAGCGACGACTGGTTTATTACTAAATATCCACAGAATCGGTTATTACTTTCGAAAGATAAAGTCATTTTATGTTAAGTGTACTCAAGACATCCGTCGCTCCAAACATTTACTTTGTACGTAACGCAGCCCCCGGGGGAACTTCCAACGTTCAACGCGATGTAAAAGTCTCTAGAGGCATCTTTATTGTTTCCAGTGCATTTGTTCCAATAATTTCTCTTTTTCATCTCCCAGTAAATCTCAGTACTGGAAGCAACATCTAATCTGCACACAGGTACAGTTAAGCCCCAGCATAGCTCCTGTTTCTTATTTAATGACAGGGAACGCACAGAGGGCAAAGTTTCGATACAACGGGTGTTCAAAAACGATCAATTCAGAAGTGGAATATTTTGTAGTTCTAATACACCCGAGATTAAACTAGCG